TGTCTCTGTTCATGGTGACTTGGGGCATTTGGTATCTAGCTTGTATAGTATTTCAGAAGAAATTTTCCTATTTATGACTGTAGAACTTTTTGTGACAAGACATTCACAAGAGGATGGAGAAAAGTGAACAAAGTAGTTATGTATATCTCTTGCTTAAGCCTTTATTCTTCAGAGCATTCATTTATAGACTGGATACATCAGAAGATATTGAAAGTTACCCTAGTCAATAGTGGTTAGGCAGTAGTTAATACATCAATATTTTTGGTTAGATATTAGATACTAACATCAATATATTTGGTTAGATATTAGTTACTACATCAATGCAATTGGTTAGATATTAGTTACTACATCAATACATTTGGTAAGACATTAGTTACTACATCAGTACATTTAGTTAGAAATTAGTTACTACATCAATACATTTGGTTAGACATTAGATACTACATCAATACATTTATTAAGACATTAGTTACTACATCAATACATTTGGTTAGACAGTAATTACTACATGAATTCATCTGGTTAGTCAGTATTTACTACATCAATACATTTCGTTAGAAATTAGTTACTACATTAATACATTTGTTGAGACATTAGTTACTACATCAATAAATTTGGTTAGACAGCAGTTACTACATCAATATATTTGGTTAGACAGTAGTTACTGCATAAATACATTTGGTTAGACAGTAATTACATCAACACATTTGGTTAAACATTAGTTACTACATCAATACCTTTGGTTAGACAGTAGTTACTACATCAAAGCATTTGCTTAGACAGTAGTTACTACATCAATGCATTTGGTTAGTCTGTAGTTACTGCATCAATAAATTTAGTTAGACATTACTTACTATATCAATACATATGGTTAGACAGTCGTTAATACATCAATGCATTTGGTTAGACAGTAGCTGCTACATCAATACATTTGGTTAGACGTTAGTTACTACGTCAATACATTTACTTAGACATCAGTTACTACATCACTACATTTAGTTTGACAGTAATTACATCAAAACATTTGGTTAGATAGTAGTTACTACATCAATACGCTTGGTTAGACAGTAGCTACTACATAAATATAATTGGTTAGACAGTAATTACTACATTAATACATATGATTAGACAGTAGTTACTACATCAAAACATTTGGTTAGACAGCAGTTACTACATCTATACATTTGGTTAGACAGTAATTACTACATCAATACATTTGGTTAAACAGTATTTACTACATCAAAACATCTAATTAGACAGTAGTTATTACATCAATGCATTTGGTTATACATTAGTTACTACATCAATACATTTGGTTAGGAAGTAGTTACTACATCAATATATTATGTTAGACAGTAGTTACAACATCAATACATTTGATCATACATTATTTACAAAATCAATACATTTGGTTAGACATTTGTTACTACATCAATACGTTTGGTTAGATATCAGTTACTACATCAATACATTTTGCTAGACAGTAGTTACTACATCAAAGCATTTGCTTAGACCATATTTACCACATCAATGCATTTCATTAGTCGGTAGTTACTACATCAATGCATTTGGTTAGATAAAAGTTACTAATCAATACATTTGGTTAGACAGTAGTTACTACATCAATACATTTGGTAAGACATTAATTACATTATCAATACATTTGGTTAGACATTAGTTACATTATCAATACATTGGTTCGTCAGTTGTTACTACATCAATACATTTGGTTAGACCATATTTACTACATCAATTCATTTCATTAGTCGGTAGTTACTACATCAATGCATTTGGTTAGATAGTAGTTACTACTCAATACATTTGGTTAGACATTAGTTACTACATCAATAAATTTGGTTAGACCGTAGTAACTACATCAATACATTTGGTAAGACATTAATTACATTATCAATACATTTGATTAGAAATTAGTTAAATTATCAATACATTTGGTTCGTCAGTTGTTACTACATCAAAACGTTTGGTTAGACATAAGTTACTACATCAAGACATTTGGTTAGACATTAGTTACTACGTCAATACATTAGCTTAGACATTAGTTACTACATCAAAACATTTGGTTAGATATTAGTTAATACATCAGCAAATTTGGTTAGACAGTAATTACTATATCAAAGCATTTGGATTGACCGTAGTTGCTACATCAATGCATTTGGTTAGTCAGTAATTACTACATCAATGCATTTGGTTAGACATTAGTTAATACATCAATACATTTGTTTAGGCATTAGTTACTACATCGATATATTTGGTTGGAGAGTAGTTACTACATCAAATCATTTGGTTAGATAGTAGTTACTACATCAATACATATGATTAGACAGTAGTTCCTACATCAATACATTTGGTTATAGAGCAGTTACTACATTAATACATTTGGTTAGGCAGTAGTTATTGCATCAAAACATTTGGTTAGACAGTAGTTACTACATAAATATATTTGTTTAGACAGTAAATAATACTTCAATATATTTGGTTGGACAGTAATTACTACATAAATACATTTGTTTAGTCAGTAGTTATTACATCCTTACATTTGGTTAGACATTAGTTACTACATCAATAGATTTGGTTAGACAGTAATTACCTCATCAATATATTTCGTTAGACAGTACTTACTACATCAATACGTTTGGTTAGTCAGTAGTTATTTGATCAATACATTACGTTAGACATTAGTTCCTACATCAATACATCTGGTTAGACAATAATTACTACATTAATACATTTGGTTAGACAGTAGTTTATACATCAAAGCATTTGGTTAGACCGTAGCTACTGCATCAATGCATTTGGTTAGTTAGTAGTACTACATCAATGCATTTGGTTAGACATTAGTTACTACATCAATACATTTGGTTTGGCATTAGATACTACATCAATACATTTGGTTAGACAGTAGTTACTACATCAATACATTTGGATACACATTAGTTACTACATCAATACATTTTGTTAAACAGTAAATATTAACCTAATACATTTGTTTAGACAGTAGTACTACATCAATACTTTTAGTTAGACATTAGTTACTACATCGATACATTTGGTGAGACATTATTTACTACATCAATAGATTTGGTAAGACATTAATTACTTTATCAATACATATGTTTAGACATTAGATACTAGATCAATACATTGAATTAGACATTAGTTACTACATTAGTACATTTGGTTAGACAGTAATTACAACATCAATTCCTTTGGTTCGTCTGTTGTTACTACATCAATATTTTGGGTTAGACATTAGTTACTACATCAATACATTTTGTTAGACAGTAGTTACTACATCAAAATATTTGGTAAGACAATACCTCCTACATCAATACATTTGGGTATACAGTAGTTACTACATTAATACATTTGGTTAGACATTAGTTACTACAGCAATACATTTGGTTAGACAGTAGTTACTGCACCAATACATTTGGTTTGACATTAGTTACATTATCAATACATTTGTTTAGACATTAGTTACATTATCAATACATTTGGTTGGACAGTATTTACTACATCAATACATTTGGTTAGACAGTAGTTACTACATCAAAATATTTGGTAAGACAATAGTTCCTACATCAATACATTTGGTTAGACAGTAGTTACTACATCAATACATTTGGTTAGACATTAGTTACTACATCAATACATTTGGTTAGATAGTAGTTACTACATCAAAACATTTGGTTAGACATTAGTTACTACATCAATGCATTTGGATAGACATTAGTTACTACATCAATACATTTGTTTAGACAGTAATTACTACATCAATACATTTGGTGAGACATTAGTTACTACATCTATGTATTTGGTCAGACATTAGTTACTGTATGAATACATTTGGTTAGATATTAGTTACTTTATCATTACATTTGGTTAGACATTATTTACTACATCAAAAAATTTGGTTAAACAGTAGTTACTACATCAATTCATTTGGTTAGATAGTAGTTACTACATCAATACATTTGATTAGACGGTAATTACTTCATCAATACATTTGGTTAGACATTAATTACTACATCAATACATTTGGTTATTCAGTAGTTACTACATCAAAACATTTGGTTAGACAGTAGTTACTGCATCAATGCATTTGGTTAGTCAGTAGTTACTACATCAATACATTTGGCTAGACATTAATTACTACATCAATGCATTTGGTTAGACATTAGTTACTACATCAATACATTTGGTTAGACAATTATTACTACATGAATACATTTGATTACACATTAGTTACTTTATCAATACATTTGGTTAGTAGTTACTACATCAATACATTTGGTTAAACATTAGTTACCTCATCAATACATTTGGTTAGACGGTAGTTACTACATCAATACATTTGGCTAGATATTAGTTACTACATCAATACATTTGGTTAGACCTTAGTTACTATATCAATACATTCGACTAAAAGAGTATGAATAATTAAGGATGTTTACAATTTGCCTGAGCGGGTATTAAAGCTTTTTTGCCTGACCGGGTATGAAAGCTTGATTGCAAGTCACGACTTTATCAGTAATGATGCAACTGATTCCGTGGAAATAAGTCAATGACGACCTTATTCGTACCGTATTGCAAATGAAAAAAACTTTTATACAATTCGTTTACTCTGACGTTTGGACGCAATGTGGTGTGCGTGTCAGTGACTAACATTTTGGTATTTCGTTTGCCAGCATTACATAAAACGACATTATGGTTGTGCCTTTAAATGTTTACGAAACACGCATTATGTATGAGTGTGATTATGATTTTTAGCTGGTTTTAACAATTTTTCAGTGATATCGCTACGCTGTCTGCAGTTTTTAGTGGTGTCTATCACAGGGGCATCATGCCGCAGACATGTAGCATGATGTCCAAACCCAGTCACATTATCTGACACCAGGCCGACCAGTCCTAACACTAATTTCTTAATACTGAGCGCCAAACGAGAGATCTGTTAATAAAATTTTTGTAATTCTTTGGTATGACTCGACCGGAAATTGAACCCACGACCACCTGCATCTGAGGCGGATACTCTAACCACTAGGCAACCAGAGCGGTCAAACAAGCATTCATTCTGTTAAAAGCGTTGCGCTTTCATATCGATACCACTCGACCTCTACGTAAAGATAAGATTCGTAAAATTGTATCGACTTTGGAAGGTTACGAAGATGTGCGTAGCTTGTAACCTAAACCCTCCGTGTACGTGACTGGTAAAGTGCTGGCTTCAATGCGAGAACACAAGAAGTGGCTGACAATGCCAAAGGCATTTGCAAATTGAAAATTGAGCTAGGAAACAAGTGGAGTCAAGTAAAAATGCGACATTTAAATCTGTTGTAACCAAAATGACAAAAGAAAACATCGCAGAGGAAAACCAAATTCAGGATAGCAGTACTGTCGTCGACATCGATATGGATGAAAAAATAGAGTCGGTCAATATCATAGAAGAATAAATAACACTGAAGAGTGTCGCTTAAAATTATAAGGCACCACACATTCATAGAAAAGGTTGCATAGTAATTGGTATTGATTGCATATGGGTTTTGGGGTTTATTGTTAGCCTCTTATGCATTTTTGTATTTCGCCATCAAATCGCAATTTTAACACTTAATAACTATGTCTTGAAAAAGTTTTAAATATCTTGTCTTGTCTACGTCATTTTCAAACTTTTGAACACATTCGCCATAGCTACCTCTTCTTCTTCTACCGCTATGTCTGCTCTCGAAGTCATTGAAGAAAAGTGAGATTGTTAAAGTTGTGAGACACTGTATCTTCGTCATTCTTTTAACATGTTGACTGCTTAACTAAGTGGTTCAGGCAAAACGGAGACTGTCAAACATTTGATCGAACACAATGCTTATTTGATCGATCCTCAACGCATCGTGTGGTGCTACAAAAAGGGTCAGTCAGCTTAAGAGCCGCATTCAAGAAAGTCAAGGAGAATTCCCCGTATTTGTGGAAGGCATTCCTGGCGAAGACGAAAGGTTTGTGTCTGACACGAGTGAAACTCATCTAGTCATCTTGGAAATACATGTTAGGAGAAGACGAAGAAGAAATTAAACTTTGATTTACACGCAAAGGGCATAATCTTACTGACGGTGTCATTAACAATACCCAAAATGTACTTCTACAAAGTAAAGCCCATTTTGCCATCAGTTTCAATGACCATTAAGTGGTCTTCTTTAAAAGTCCCAGTTTCAGGTACATGTGTTAGACAAACAGTTAGTAATTATGTTCCTGTTTGATAAAATTGCTAACTTGATCATTTGAATTGGAAAAGGATTTGTTGTGAATAAAAATGTATTTTTTAAAATTGGTGTTATATCGTTTTTTATTGACACTGTACAAGTATGTGATTTTTCTAATCTATCCCTCTGGGTCATGTTAGCAATTGCGTCCCTACAAAGCCGAAGGGATATTTTCCATCGCGCCCGCGCTTGCGGAATATAAGCGATCACAATCGCTTGGGGTATAAAGGGTAGACCGATTAGCCCGACGCACACAAAGACCGAAAAGTAACCTGGTAAAGGCTACAATTAAAAACCAAACATTGTCAAAGCGGTGATAAATGTCAAAATTAGGTGACATAGAGATTGAGTTAATTTTTTAGAACCATATAAGTACGCTAAGTACGCAAAATTCAACCTCATCAAAATATATTCAAAATTCACAACTCAGGAACATTTGGATAATTGAATAGGTGGCTAACACATCATTGGTATAGGGACACCCGTAGGAAAACCTGGTTAACTTTGACAATAATCCACCTGAGATCAAGTTAGGTGAACTTAGACATTGGGGACTTTAGTAGGCGGGAGTTGAGGCGGAAGGCCGTTACGCTCTGTTACAATACGCAGCCAACCAAAGGGTCTTAAGGTCAGCAAATAAAGGTCAGCACCACGACCAAAAGCCCAGCCCTAGGGCTAAGCGCCTCCCTGGATAGCAATGTTACCGAAAGATAACATCCGGCCTAGGCGGTGAGCCACCAGGGGGGTTAATAGGCCCACGCGCCGGGGCAAAAGTGTCAGCACTGGACACTGGTGAGCCCTGTCCCGGAAGGGGGAGAGGCCACTAGCCCTTTTCAGGGCTTAAAGTCATAAAACACGAAAGTGTATACATGACTATAATTACATATGATGATGATGATGATTGGGGTATAAAGCCAGGGAGCCTGTCGCAATGGATGTAAAGACTATACAAGGGCGTGGCGCCACTATTGCTGTCAGCTAACAAAGCGAATCCTATCTAGGCGTTACGGACCAATAGAGCCATATGAATTTACCTGCTTGAGCCTGAGTTCTGGGATAAAAAGAATAACCTCACTTTTAATCTGTCACGAAAAGAGTGAAGTAGTGGAACACGATAACGTCTGACTGAGGGGAGACAGTAAAGTTAGAAGGAACCTGAATAAGAAGCGTAAAGAGAGGAGAAATGCGGCGCTTTTAAGGGTTATTAACCACTCAGCTATAAAGCCAGGACCTCAAACAAATTTACAGAGACTCACAGAACATTTACCTGTCCGCCAATTGACTACAACTTACACAGCGATCGAGACCACACCACGGCAGAACAACATGAATAAAGTGGAGGCTCAAACAGAAATAAGCTTTCTCGACATTGCAAGAGCTAGAGAGCGTGCCTAAGCAAAAGCTGACACGAAGGCTAAAGAGGAAACAGAAGAGGAATCTTCAGTCCAACGAGACACAGATGATTAGGAAGAGGAGATGGGAAATATAGTTGAGGAAGAGAATATCTACGCGGACAGACAGTGGCTTATGTGTCTCAGCTTGAGGGAAGCACTTGATGACTCTAAAAAGCCCAACCACTTTATATGTGCAGTGAAGTAACTGACCTGGAGGCATATAAAAGAAGGAAGTCGAGACCTCAGCAGTGGCAATTCGGGCGCGTATTCTCACACAATATCAGGAGGGGGCATATCATCAACATCCCCATGGCAACTTTATTGAGACCGCAGAACAACTGATAGATCTTCACGGCCTTGCATTCGCAGAACAGCAGTTTGAAGAATCACGGAATGCAGAGGAGGTAAAAGAAGGAGACCGCCGCTAAAAATTTGGACAAGCCTAAAAAATCCTTGTAAGGGCTATTATTAACCAGTTTGGACTTGAAAACCATCTTGGTAAAAATTTAACTAATCTAATTTGACTGCTTTGAATACCATTCTAAATTACCGATCTAAATATCCTAATATTGACGAAATCAAAAATGTAAGTCTGACTCGTTTTCTTTAGGACAATTTTAGGAAATAATGTATAGCTAAGAACACGATATTCAAACTTTTGTATAAGAAAATTTTAATCGTTATAGGTGCACACTAATTAAGAATTTGGCTAATACAAAATTGGCAATAGTGAATCGCCCGATTAAGTGACTATGCATGATTTGATTTGTATACACTCGGGCGTTTAAGACCTCCAGTTGAAGATTGGAGCCTCCTGCCGAGTCACTTCACTCCCTTCCCTAGATAGAATTGCCAAAGACGAGAGTGTGTGCTGATTCCCACGCGTCTAATATCAAACACCACGAAGAGTTTGCAAGCACAGATTTGGAGTGGTGCCTCGTGTGTGACTTAAATCCAGCTCTAATATAGAGCGATATATAGACTATCCTATGATAAGTGTGTGATTGTGTGTGTTTCTGTGTGTGTGTGAGGATCTATTCCAACTCATCTCAGTCATTATGTCACTTGGGGCTTAATTGTCCCGAAATATGACACTAAGATGCATACTTTGTATGCGTTAATGCATACAGAGGTGTGGCATGAACCAGACGCGCATGTCCGAGTGGCCGAATGCGTCTTAAATCCAACGAAAGTAAGTCTGACCATCCATCGTTTACTCGTCAACAGATAAACATTCTTCAACTAATGTTAACACTACTCGACACAAAGAAAAACCAGAAGAAGCTAGATTCACCTGGAATTGTTGATGCCATCTTGTAAAACAAAAATTCAGACAGATATATCTCAACCTTCTGAAATTTCTGAAACTTTTCTAAGGAAAAATATTGGTTCTATTTCACTTTCTCATTAACTACGATTGTACGTATTAACTATTCTACCATCCCCATATTATATCCCCATATATACGTCTAACCCCATACTGGGTAAGCATGCAATGTTGGACCATGTGAGAGCGGCAGGGAGAACAGATCAACTGACGAAGAACGAGGGACACAAAGTCGCGTTGGGCCCGGTTGCGCCAGTGCGCGAAATCTGATCCAACATCATTGGGACAGAATTACCTGCTATTTGTTCATCTGGCAGTTGAAAAAGACAATGAACAATCCGGGTAATGCAAAAAATGGTAACGGATCCGAAACTAGGTCTAACAATATTTAAGTTGTTGTTGTTGTTGTTATTGGGCTTAACGCCATTTTCAGCACATTATAGGCTATGCATGGCGGCCAGTATTAATGGTGGAGGAAGAAACCGGGAAATCCGCGGAAAGAACCACCGACCCTCGAAAAGCTACTGGCAAGCTTTCTCACATATCCACATTCGACAAATTAATACAATCACATATAAAATCATTCAAATAACAATAGCTGCATTCTCCCAAGGCAATGCTATTAATAATAAATTAAAAGTATTGGAAAAAAATTCCATTTACCATATATCGCACAACACACATCGACAGCCTTGTTCTCTATTCACGATTCCCAAACCATTAGCCCCACCCCACTCCGCAGCACAATGCGGACAAATATAGAATAAGATAGAAACATGGCAATGGTGAAACTCTATGAAACCTGGTAACTTAAATTAAGTCTAATAAAATATAAGACTTATAAAATTGGTATTAACAGCTGCCGTGATAGGGATGCAGCTTTAAGAGGTTAGTGTTAGGACTGGCCGGCCTGGTGTCAGGATAATGTGACTCTGTGGGACATGTCTAAGACATGATGTTCCAGTGCTGGACAGATTATAGACGAAAAACTGTAGACATCGTAGCGATATGACTGAAAAATTGTTAAAGCTATTTTAAAAATCCAAATCACACACACAAACACACACACACACACACACAAATTTTTAATATG